ATCACGATGATGATGATGATGTTGATGATGATGTTGCTGCTGTTGACTAAATAATCAATTTATTACGTTATTATATATAACACCACTGCTTCCTCTTTACAAATTTTCATCTCAACAGCTTCTCGTCATTAAAACTTCCTTAAATAAAAGTTCAATTTTTGCCGTACCAACAACTTCTACGATTGCACTTTCTTTTTTTTTTTATTCAGACGAGTCTCAATAGCTTTATGAATTTTTAACACAAATACGCGTTGTCACCAAGAATTTTTCAATAAAAACTGTTCTATGTCATTAATTAGAAAGCATTCTTTAATTATAGCTTAAAAAAGTAGTAATAAAGAGTAAAGTATTGCAGATAGATTGTTAACTGAATCACTGATTAATCAAAACTTTTCAAACACCTTTCAAACATGTTTATAAATAAATAAATATATATATATATATCTTTATAAACAATTCTACGTCGAATCGCACCCATTTTCTAGTAAAGCACTCAAAATTTCTTCACCTTCTGCTAATTTGTGGAATTAGTGCTTGAATATGGAATTAAGAAAGAATATCTCAAAAAGAAAAAAAAACTCTAACGGCAAAGCTGGTCTGTTCAAAAATGCAAAGAAAAAATTCAGTTTGTGCTAAATATGATCATCCTTAAAACCTCGTGATTACGTTCATCTACAACGAACTTTAAAATAGTTTACTTTGAATGCTTGCCTTTTGCATAATTAGAAGTGTGGTGGAATGCATCAGCAAATTACACAAAAGGATAAATTAAAAACGACAAATAAAGTTTTTTCAAGCATATTATTTAAACCTTTTAAAAAAGCATATATTTTCTAAAGCTCTGGTTTTTGTATAGATTATAAAAATTAGATAGTGACATTTTTATAGTATAACAAATTACGATAGGATTAGAGAAGCCAGGCTGCAAAATTTCTTATTTTACGCAAAACTTTACCGTCTCTGTGTAAGAAAATGTATCGGCTGCAACTGAATTAATGTTCTTCTGAAAAATGTTACAGATTGGCTGGTTCAGCGACAGGTGTTTGGTGTAAAATTATAGTTGCTCTGTGATATAAATAAAGTTTTTTAAAATAAGTTACTTTTATCATTATGGGTACTTTTTTAATTTTTATTCCTTTGCTTCCTCAGTAAACTCTCCTGAACAAACTGTTCAGAACCGAGTTTTCAGTAATAATGCCCAATGTTATTTTGCACCATATTTTTTCAGCATTTTGTGAGATAATACAGTGGGAATCTTGTCTGCTTGGAGTGCGTAAGCTTACATGATAACTTCATGCTTAAAGCTTTTACCATTCCAACAATCTTGTTGAATGCAAAAATCACGAATATTTATGTCAGATGGTTCATTGTCTGATTGTGAAGATCGTTTCCAGAAAGCAGCTTATTTAGATCAAGTCTTATCGCCTCTATTCACTCTCCATCCCGTACCATTACAAGAGCTTCTTCTACGTAAAGTTGCGAGAAAGTGTTGGGATTCTGAGGTCTATAGAACAGTAAATGAGGTTTGAAAAGTTTTTGTATTTTCTGTGCTGTACAACTTTTTTGTTGAGGAATTACATAACATCTTTAAAAGTTCATTTTCACTTTAAGAAATTTAGAATGCGATGTCGAAAAAAATCTACGGTTATCGTGTCGCTGGTGAGGCATTGTGATATGACAACATGACCTTAAATGTAGTCGAAGCCAAAATTTTTAGATGAAACAGGTTGCACACAAACAGGTTATGGCTCGTGACTTTTTTGATAGTATCCTTCAGTAGCATATTAAGCCTCCATAGCCAAATCTTTAGAAAAGATGGCAAATTACTGCATTATTGGAAAGATAAAAGCAAAGCAATATTCGCTAGTTTCTGAGTCACATATATGAGACTTTAAAGAGTTAGTGAGGAAGCACAGCGATACAGCGTCAGAGCAACATGTATAAACTGTGAATACTGAGAGTTTAGAAAAACTGACTACAATCATCACTTAAATAATCAGTAAATCCTTAGCACTGTGTTTCCAAAAGCCTTTTAATAATTGCAGTCGTGTAAAAATAGTCCAGTATATCCGGCCAAGCAATCCACTTTTCTCCAAAACATTGAGTACCCGTTACCAGTACAGCACATTTAAGAATTTTCTCAGCAGCCTTAAAATATTTGTGACCCTTTACCTCCAAACTTCTCGTGAGAAAAAACCAATTCAAAGAATGTATAAGACTCAAAACACTTTTGCCATCCTGATTTCTAATCCAGGCAGAATATCAAAGTTTTTTTGTTTTTTTATAGTCATAAGGAAGTCGTTCCAAACGAAAAACAACAGAAGTGCAGCTGAAATATGGCACGAATATCAGATTTAAGAAGACAGTTGATTAACTGAATGTTCCCCAAGACATCCACTGCGAGTAATTCAAAACGTTTAGGCATGATCATTACAACTAGACAAAACAAAAATAATTCTGCGAATCATGAATATCTTATCAAGTAGCAGCGGAAATGTGGTCGTACAGGAAGAGGTGAAAGCAACTGTTGTGTGATGTCAACTGGGTATCATAAAACGAAAATTTGCCTTCCCTTCAAAGAGGAATGTTTACCAAGAATTTTTAAACACTAGGAGAGCTAAATTGGTGTAGGATTGGTATCGGTTAGCTAAGGAGAGTTAGCTGTAAATTATTTAGTTAGTTTTGTGAATTTTAAAAGCGACTGTTTACAGAGATAAGGCAAAGGAAGTTGAATCACGCAAAGGGACAGATACGACCTTACAGAACACTGCTCATCTCATATTCCTACAAACGCATCTGAAGAAAAAAATCTGCAGGCTAAATGAACAGACAATACTTTCAATCATTTCTGTTGCCAGAAGGCTAAATAGTACTGTAACAGATACGCAAAGTCATATTGAATAGTTGCAGAAATGAAACATTCTGTTTAGAAGGATACCGTACGATTTTCTGCTGAGGTCAAGTTACTGGAGAGGTTGAGTACGCGGAGCGCAAGGCTTGGATGTTTTTGAGAACTTTATGTTGCAGTGGTTCTTTTATTTTTTTTTTAAAAATTCCATACGTATACTTAAGTTTAATTGTATATTTAAATTTCTCTAGAACAAGTGCTTCTAATTGTAAAAGTAAATATATTCGGACAACAATTTTTGAATATATTTAAAATTTACAAAAACAGAGTGCAAAAATGGTTTTTCCCGTTTCCCGTGACTGTCGCGACTACTGACCTTCTGTTTAATTGGGGAGTTGATCACTCCTCTACAGGGTCCCTATGGGAAACCGAACTTCCATCCTTTTTAAACCGCAAGCAATCGTAGTCGCCAATGCTTGCAGCACTATATAATTTGGGGACTGTAACTACGTAGGGAGGTAACGTTGTCAAGCACTTTAATACTTTGGATAATTCTTTATTTATTGAATCTTTCGAATATTACAAGTAGCGAAATAATAGAGACGATACAGAGAATGAGAATAAACCACTGAGCAAACTGTTCACTAACCTAAACTCCCACCGTACCGAAGTTCTAATATTATAAATTGAACAGGAACATAGTCAAACCGACTCCTAATGCTCCTTCCAGTAATAAAATAAAAAATTGTCACATCAAAACAAATAACCTTAAACAAATAAATTTTGACCAAAGAAACGTAAAACAAAAAGAACTATTTAAGAAAGAAACTAAAATACTAAGAAAGAATAAAGAAATGGTCCTAGGAATCATAGGAAAGGGACAGCAAAGCTTTGAGAAATATCACCAACTTTCACCTTTTCTTTAGCAAGACTGAACCCTTAATAACACCTTGCTCTTTTATACTGTCTGTCTAGCAATGATCTTCCAGTATGACCTCCAAGAGCTTCTCCTCGGGGTCATATCTGATCCACTACCATCTTCAATCTTTGAGGCCATTTCGCGTGCCGTCGCGACAGTGACCTTAAAAGAAAAAAAAACACGCGGTTCAAATACATTTGTACCAATGAGTTTAAGAACCCTGTAAACACGGATCTTTTCACCTCTACTGGAGATCTTAAACAATTTGGCCAAACGACAAGTTATTTAAATCTACAAAGCATTCTTCAGAACAAAAAAAATTTGAAAGCTAAGTGCATTCAGCACTTGCAGAAGCTGCAGCCTCTAAAATTATACACTAAATAAACTAAAAAACCTCTTAACTATTTTAAGAAAGATTAAAAACCCGTCAAATTAGAATCCCATCGCTATCGAAAACGCCCTAGCTAGCGAATCGAAATCCATTACTACCACAGTGAAACGACACACGCGTAACTAAAGCATTCGCTCAAACCGTAAAGATGCAGTTCTTCACGCAGAGAGAAAAACAGCCTAATCGAGAACGCTATTCGACGTACTCCGAAGCCAAAGAAATTTTTCTGTAACATGAGATGCAGCCTACTTTCAAGAACAAAAGAAGTGCCGCCTTATTGCGAGAAAAATTCAGGAACTGAAACAGGCTCGTTCTCCAAATCACTAACTCAGCAGACGTAGATCATCCCTACCACCCTAATCAAAACTTCTTGTTATAGTGGCAGCGGCTTTAGAAACGGCCAGTGGAATACCGACTTACCGCACTACCAAAACAAATGACAACGGCGAAATCAAAAATTTCTTTCAGTCTCTCGCACCCAGACACATTTGAGCAGTATCCGGAGACAACTGTAGAAGGGAAAAAAGTGACTGTCTATCCAGCACTTCTGTTCTTTTTAGTACTAAACTGTTCTATTCGGTCAATAATTGTGCAAAACAAGAATCCGCATCACACAATTCACGCGATTCATTCCAGAACATGTGACTGGATTACGCAGCAAGAAATCCCTAGGTTCAGAAATTAACATTTTATAGGCTACTTTTTGCAATAAACCAAGTAAAAACGTATTTTTCAAGTATGAAAAAGACTTGCAACACACATACTTACTCAACAATAACAATAAGCAATACATTTAGTTTATAGCAAACAACTGCGGCCAGTAACAATGCGTTAATAATTACTCAGGTAAATGTGAAACCCAAGGTTCTGTACGTCCTATAGATCTTCTCTAAAGAATTGACGTAAGCTGCCGTCCTTAAGTCAAGTCCCAAATCATACTTGTGTGCAGTCTGGATAACTGCTTCTCCTAAAAGACAATTATATACTGTGTTGACTATATTGTTTAGTTAGTAGAAATAATAGAATTAAGGCTATGAAGACTAGAGTATGAGCTGACGAAAGAGGAGCATCTGCGCAGTAAGATTTGAAAAATGGATAAAATGATTACAGACCTGATTTTTGCATCGTATATTCCAATCCTGAGTGCACTATATCCTTTTCTGAGGCGCCAGCTATCCTTGCATAAAATGCAGCAGATGGCTCAATCTTTACTTCTTTATTTAATGATCTTTTCAATGACTCCTGTACACTGTCTGCAAATTTCTTTCGATCAAATTCAAAAATAGTTCTTACAAGTCAACAGATAGAAAAGAAGATTAACCAGAAGAAATAGAGGTGTACAATAAAATGAGCCTTGGCTTACCTAAAAGATGGTAATTGGAGTCCCGTTCATATTTGAAAGTCAAGCGGCCGAAGCTTACATGATTGAGGTTTTTCAGCCACTCAAAGTAAGATACAGTAACACCACCACTATTAACAAATAAATCTGGGACCAAAAGACAGTCACCCCTAGCCAGCAAAATCTTGTCAGCAGCTGGTGTAGTTGGACCATTAGCTGCCTCAGCAATTACCTAAATTTCAATAACTTG